ACAATCATGTCTATAGAAGTAAGAAAAAAGTTTCTAAGAAAGAAGGATTTCACAGACCCCATTTTTCTATACCCAACCTCAGCAAGGTCAGGAAAAAGGAAGGCAGGAAGGACAGAAAAGGAGGGAGCAAGGAAAGAAGGAAGAGGGAATTTCTGCTTTGTCCACTTTGCCTCCCTTTTGCTTCCACTGTGCTGACCTGGCCTCGTAGCAGCTCTCAGCTCTATCCAAACATTCACATCTCTGTGTCCTTCCAACGATGGCTCTTTTTCCTGTGGCTCCTAAATTCTGCCAGTTGAGCATAGCCAGATACATGTCATAAGATGAAAAGCCTCATGCCAGAGGAACTTCTGGATCTCCAGAGGGTTGGCACAGAAAAGGACTGAGGGCGGCGTGGAGTCTAAACTCAACCATCACTGTCATGACACCGTCATGCGGCTCCCCCTCTGGAAGGATCCTCTCCCTTTTATACTGACCACAGAGCAACAGCTCATTCACGCGGCATCACAACAAGCCGTGTGAGTGGCAGACACTGAGCCAAATCGGGGTACTGTTTTATATTCAGCTAATGTAGACTCAATTTTGTTTCTTGGGATTAGAATGTTTCAACACTGCCTTATAAAAATATTCCGTTCTGGTTCTCAGGCATAGCATCAGTTCAGAAAAGCTGCAAGATTTTAGCTGCCAGTTTCTCTTGCATTCCTGTTTTTGTCTGTAATTTCTAAAGACTAGTAAGTAGATGAGGCACTTTACAAATACACAAAGACAAGAGCCTGGCCCTCGGTCAGAAAAACACAACCCAAATGAAAATAATCCAAGCAGAAGCAGTTACAGTTTGAGGGGAGGGCATTAGCTTTGGAAAGCGAAGTTTAAAGTATTTCTGTTTGTGTTTTTGTTTTGAAACGGGAGTGATTTGAAGGGCAAGGGGGAGGCTTCATCCTGAGGTTTGCTCTATGTTTAATCGACACAGGCTCGTGGTCTTGGGAGGTCATTCAGTTCAAAAGCAAAGTTGTTCAGACTGACCCCCCCCCCCCAACAAAGAAACTGCTTTCTATGGCAGACAGTGCTTTTTTTTCCAACGACTTTGCGGCTGACCTCAGTTCCCCAGACAAGTGTAGGCTTAAATAAGATAATTGCTTTCTAAGGCATTTTGCCTCCCTTATAGAAAATCTTCTTGAACACGGAGCACACCTCTACCAGAGAGGAGACCACACCTGAAGTCACATACTTAATTGGTTGTTTTATTTGCTTTCATCAGAAAGTTCTACTGACGACGTCAAGCAAAAGTCAGGCATTTAACTTCCTAGAAGCAAGCCAGTTACCGGGCACTGTGGCATAGTCAGTTAATCCAAGACACATTTTTATGCAAACCTCAAGTTATAACCCACATATGGAGGCAGATCATTATCCTAAGACTCTAAATTGAACCAGTTATATACTTGGAGGTGGATCTATCATAATCTGGAAAACTTTTCTTTCACTGGTCTATTTTAACAAGTGTAGGGAGGAAATAAAACTCAAAAAGCATAAACTGTTTTACATTTTGAATTGAACTTTGATAAAAATGGAAATACTCCAAAATAAAGAAATACTGGTTGAAAAAAAAAAAAAAAGAGGGAAAGATGCAGACAGAAATAAAGTAGAAAATGTGGAAATAAAAAGGTTCTGTTACTGCTTTTACATTTCCTGATTCAGTTAAGTGGAAAAGGCAGGATACACAATTATGCAGAGATATGATCCCTAATGAGAGAGAGACAAAGAGGAGTGGGGTGGGGGAAGCAGAGAGAGACAGAGACAGACAGAGGTAAAGGACTAAAATGAAATGGATCAAAATAGATCCCAGGGATTGGGATCACAGGTAAATTTCATTTTGTTTTTGGGCTTTTTGTGTCTTCTAAAACACACAAAAAATCATTTTTTTAACTAAAAAAGCATATTTTAACAATAAGTCAATAAAATATTTGTAAAAATTGTTTGATTCAAAATGCAATATTCTTTAAACTTTGAGCCTGAGCACATGTACTGATAGACTTCAGGGTTGTTAAAAGTAGAGTTTCTATCTGTAGTAGCATACTGCCCACCCAGTGCCCCCTCCTCCCTGCCTGGCTGCCCCTGCCTGGGCCAGGCCCAAAAGAACAGGGAGCACGCACACACACACTCCCACACATTTTGTACACAGTTCACAAATAGAGACTTTTCCAGTTTAACCATATTTTAACAGGTCCAGTGCCCTAAGATGCAACAAGAGATGACAAAATAAAGTGTTTAGTGCTGACCTCTTGCAAATTATCATCTCCATCAATGGACACAATCTGTAAGGTCAATTTTAATTGTCCACGACGAATTTGATTTATGGGGCTTTCCTGGTGGCTCAGACGGTAAAGAATCTGCCTGCAATGCAGGAGACCTGGGTTCAATCCCTGGGTAGGGAAGATCTCCTGGAGAAGGGAATGGCTACCCACTCCAGTGTTCTTGCCTGAAGAATTCCATGGACAGAAGAGCCTGCTGAACATGTGCCACATAACATGAGCTTAACACAGTGGGAGCTGCTGTGCCATGTAGAAGCCAGGCTCACCTTGGTGTCACTTTTTACTGCGTTGGTTGTTTCAGGAGCCCTGATCTCTGGATCCTGGACCATTTCAGAGTCTGGAACAGCTAGAACTGGGAGAATGTGCGGAAATTTGCTCCAGGCATCTGTTCCATCTACATCAAGAAGTTGGCCTAGTCTCCTCTACAGACCTTTCTGTTTCCTTGGCATCTGTCCTTTGGATTACTTTGTGGATAAAAGATACCCTCACAGACAGATTCCAGATTGTTACCCTGGCCTGCTGCCTAAAATTAGTAACTCCATTGTTCCTCTGCTTGAAAGCCCTTGAATTTGAGGCTTATTTAGAACAAAATCCTGTCCACAGAAATGCAAATTTCTCTAAAAGGGTTCTGAGGCCTTGATGATTCAGACATGAGCATAAACCTGCTTGATCAGATTGCTGCCCCTCTAACACCTAGACAGCTAGATTGAGGAATGGAACTTCTGATGAAATATAAAAGGAATTTGAGTGGCAGGTAGGGATATGAAAGGAGATGAGTGGCAGGTGGAAATGGAGGGATGCAGTTTGAAGATAAAGGCACAAGTGGACACTTGGACCCTACGGGCCTGAGGGGAGAGGCACACAGGTATTCGGGGAGGAGCAGAGGCAGCCCTCCAACTCACCGCAGCCTCTGATCCTCTTCCCCCGACTCTCAGAGGATGACTCTGCCTTCCTCCATACTTCCTCAGCTTCCTGCCACCAACCCCCCGCACCACACACAGGCTCCTCTTCCAGCTTGGGCTCTGTCCGCCCTCTGCCTGCTGGATCCCCACTCTGTGCCTTCCCTGCTACCATCCTTAGCTCCTTCCCCTTGCTCCCCAGCACCTTCAATCTTTCTCTCTTCATCAGCTCCTTTAGCCTCTTTTCCCACCTCAACCAAAACGAAATGCTGTCCATAAACTCGCCCTCTACTTCTGCCTTGCTGCCTCTCAGCTGGCATCTAGGAAGAGCTGCTTCCCACCCTCTTGCTCTCCATATCTTCACCTCCCCTCTCTCCTGCTCACTTCCCCACCATGAAACTGCTCTTGCCCGTGACCGTGACATGGCGATGAAAGCAATGGAAACTGCAATTCCTGGCTTATGACCTCCCCAAAGCCTTTGACCCCGGTGACCTCTCTGCTTGTTAACTCCTTTCCTTGGCTTCTTTGGTCCCACTCTATCTGGGTGACTCATCCCCTCTCACTATCTGCACGCTGATGACTCCTGTGTCTGTACTCTCAGCCTAGACCACCCTTCTGAACTGCACCCTCCTGAGTTGCACCCCCCCCCCACTGGAACCCAGTGGTCAACAAGATAACCCACATCTCACGAACATGTCAACCAAAATTTCCAGGATGGACTCCATCGCATTCTCTCCCTCCACCACCAGCCAGTCACCTCAAGTCCTAGGGATCTGTCCATGCAGTGTCCTCTGCTTATAGAGCACCTGCTCCCCTGACCCTCTGACCCCATATTCTTCAGGTCTCAGGTTGCTTGTCGCTTCTTCTGGGAAGCCTTCCTTGGTACTCTAAATCTGACTCAGGTGCTCCTATGATTGCAGAAGCTTCCGTTTGTAATTCTTTAAAAATTCACCTGTCCTTTCCACTGAAATATTCGCTCCCTGACAGCAGGGATCTTTCAGTCTTGTTCATTATCTCACTCAGCCCAGCCTGAAGTCTGGCATACAGGATACCCAACAAAAATGCATTTATATAGAAAAGATAAAAGTTCATTTCCAACATTCAGGCAGTCAGAAAAGTAGGGGAGGATGGTCCAGGCTCCACTACTCAGGTAGTGATCCTCACCCCACTCTTCAACCTAAACACCAGACAGGCAGCCTGTGTGCACCCATTCTGCACCTTTTCCACCATGGATAACAATTTTTTCCTACAAGAAAATAGATTCTTTCTCCTAAACACTGACTTTAAAGTGACTTTTGTCATTTTTTAAGTTGAGGACTGTCTCTACCATATGTAAAATATGGATCACTCAGCACAAATACATTCTAGGTTGGTTCTACCAAGTAAAATAAATAACCTTGCCACAGGATAATTCTTAAAAACAATTTGGTTGATGACTTAGTTTTTGTTTTCCTTTCTGGAGTCTAACTTTGCTAAAGAGAAATGTTCAATTTCAATATGGTCATTTCAAAAAACTGTTTTTACAGTTCCAAAACAATCATTTTTCCTTTTGCTTTGGCTAGGTCTGAAGATTTTATAAGCCCAAATACATATTCTTTGATCCTTTAATTAATGTTTGTGGCTAACTTATGAGAGAAAGAAATATTTTAATAAGTTTATACAAATTAGTCATATGATTTCCACAACTGAAGCCACAACACACAACACCCTGCACTGTAGGACATCTGTTTGCTTCTTTCCGAAGGTTTAGAGAGGAATTATGAGAGCAAATTTGCAATCTCAGAGCTTCACTCACCACTGTGTTGGCAGAAGGGCCGGGCCTTTGCTTCCTGAGCCACTGCATCTAAGGACAGCGGCCCGTTGGGAGACCCAGCTGAGCTGTAGCGCGACTTTTCAAACCAACAATGGGGACAGGGGACACCGTGGCATCTTTTCACCAAAGTAAGATGTTCACTGTCGGAATAACAAGAGAAGCATAAGGAAACTGGATGAAGTAAGTGGTCTGTCAGTAGACCACATATTCTGGTTCTATTTGCGACTATCGGGGAAGATTTGTTCATGGTATCACACGAACACTCTTCTTCCCAACAGAACTTTCAAGAAAGTGCCTCATCACACTGCTTAGCACAACCTGCCAGCCCCAACTTTGGAATGCCTTCTGAGCACTTTTGATTCTCCTTCACTTTCTGTTCTTATTTTGCAAGGGCTTGCTCTCGGCTGGACCTTGCTTTCCACCTTAATTTTGTTTTCTGGGGTAGACAACAGCATGGAATACAAATTGGAGCCTGGTACCCCACCTTCTTTCTCCAAGTCCCTGGGATTTCCCTCCTTCATCCTGTGGATCTCTGCTGAAGGTTTCTCTTTAATCCCCACCATCCACTGATCAGGAAGGAAGGCCCTCTGTCCCCTTTACTCAAGGAAGGAGCAGATCTTCCTGTTTTCCGAGGTCCCCTATGCAGTGCAGAGGATGTCCTACCAATATTCAAGTCAGTGCTATTTGGTCTCATTTAGGGAACAGCAGCATCAGTCTCCTCTGAGAGCTTGAGAGAAGTGAACATTCTCGACCCTTGCGCTTAACCCACTAAAGCAGGATCTTTGAGAGTTCAGCTCAGTTCAGTCACTCAGTCGTGTCTGACTCTGCAACCGCCCGGACTGCAGCACGCCAGGCCTCCCTGTCCATCACCAAATCCTGGAGTTGGCTCAAACTCACATCCATTGAACTGGTGATGCCATCCAGCCATCTCATCCTCTGTCGTCCCCTTCTCCTCTTGCCTTCAATCTTTCCCAGCATCAGGGTCTTTCCCAGTGAGTCAGTTCTTCACATCAGGTGGCCAAAATATTTGAGCTCTAGCTTCAGCATCAGTCCTTCCAATGAATATTCAGGACTGAGCTCCTTTAGGATTGACTGTTTTGATCTGCTTGCAGTCCAAGACTCTCAAGAGTCTTCTCCAGCACCACAGGAGCATCAGTTCTTCAGCACTCAGCTTTCTTTATGGTCCAACTCTCACATCCATACATGACTACTGGAAAAATCACAGCTTTGACTAGAAGGACCTTTGCTGGCAAAGAAATGTCTCTGCTTTTTAATATGCTTTCTACGTTGGTCACAGCTTTTCTTCCAAGGAGCAAGTGTCTTTTAATTTCATGGCTGCAGTCACCATCTGCAGTGATTGTGGAGCCCAAAACAATAAAGTCTCTCACTGTTTCCATTCTTTCCCCATCTATTTGCCAGGAAGTGAAGGGACCAGATGACATGATCTTCATTTCTTGAATGCTGAGTTTCAAGCCAACTTTTTCACTCTGCTCTTTCACTTTCATCAAGAGGCTCTTTAGTTCTTCTTCACTTTCTGCCATAATGGTGGTGTCATCTGCGTATCTGAGATTATTGATATTTCTCCCTCCTGGCAATTTTGATTCTAGCTTGTGTTTCATCCAGCCCAGCATTTTGCATGATGTACTCTGCACATAAGTTAAATAAGCAGGGTAACAATACACAGCCTTGACGTACTCCTTTCCCAATTTAGAACCAGTCCGTTGTTCCGTGTCTGGTTCTAACTGTTGCTTCTTGACCTGCATACAGATTTCTCAGGAGGCAGGTACGGTGGGGCCCAGGAATCTGTGTTAACAAGCTCTCCAGGTGATTCCTATACAGAATGAGAACCACTGAGCTGACAGAAGGGGCAGAGATGGCCGATTACTCATACTCCTTCCAGGAGAAGGGAACAGACACCCTGGCAGCAGGTTACAAGGCTCTCCCAAGGTCCTAAACAGACGATTTTCTGAAAGCAGCAGCAAGGATAAAGGACTAAGCTCTACCAGCTGGGAGGTTTCTCTTGAAAGTCCCGAAGTTTCTGCTCTTTCCTCCCACTGCACCCTCTGCCCTATAACTGCTCTGTGGCAACCAGTCTGTATGCTCATGGTCTGGCAAAGCTACATCCTTTGCCTGTTTGTGGGTTCCTGAATCTTCAACAATCTATAACTGACCACACTCAAGGTTCTCAAGACTTGAGACTTATGCTAAGGCTTGGTTCTGCCAAACAGACATTTATTGAGCACATGATAGAAATAAGTACAGGGTTTCATTACCTGCCCTCTCTGCAAACTTCTGCCCACTGCTGCCTGTTCCCTGTGGAACCCTTGCCTGGTGATCCCCTGACCCACAGCACGGCATTCAGTCCCTGAAACTTAGAAAGCGAGAGCAGGAGGCCCCTGAGCAGTCTCTCTCTCACGATTTTCAAACCGCTTAGTAAAATAGCCAGATTAGAACACCTACACAGAAAATGAGACAGGGCAGTATTTTATTAGTATGAATGTATTTCAAAGTTGAAATGAAGTTAAATTGTAGGTTAAGCAATGAGTATAATAAGGCTATTATGACCCCCAAATTGAAGTTAGATGGATAAGAGCAATTGAGCCTGCCTCTGCATCCAGTTTATTTCTGGAACAGTTGTTTGCACAATACTGAGGGGGAAAAAAAAATCCTCATTCAGATAAAGTAGTTGCATATGGTAACAGTTTCATATAAGAGATAACATTCCTTGTAACCTTGAGATACTCTTCCATTAGATAGAAGAACCGCTTTATTCTAAGGTTTACCCACAGAGAGGTATTTGGATGGCATTATAATGAACATGTTGGCAGTCTTCTGTTAAAAATTTGTTCGTGTCATGTTTGATTGTGTCTTTTTTATATAGTTGGAAAATTTTTTCAATGCAATTTAAATCAAATGTCTGTGGAAACTTTAAAGAGCTCTGCAGTCCTCAGGAATCTACAAAGCAGAAATCTCTTCACAGATGAGAGCCCAACGTCACGTATCCAGGTGCCTTGGCCTTTGGGTGGCAGGGCTGGCTGTGTCTCATGTCGCCTGTCTCCTGTTTTTCTTCTACCTTTCACATGCATCCCCCCTCCCCCTCAGAGATTCCAAGTGCCTTTACTCAGGGCCAGACCGTCCAGAGCAGGAGCTCTGTTTATCCTGCTTAAATGAATTACAGAATGGAAATTCCCCAGAGCCATCTCTCGGCTTGGGCCAGAGGGTGCCGGGCAGGAACGAAGATCCTGCTAAGGGACTCTGCCTCTTCCTGGTGTCTGCCCATGAACTGGCACACACAGTGCTCTTAAAATAATATGGTTTTCTTTTCAGCGGCCAGGGTTTGGCGCACTGACTGAGCTCTGCCTGGCTTTTCTTTCATTAAGCCGAGTCCCAGAAAGCACTTGCTCATTTAGATGGACTGCATCTGGCATGTGCTCAATTTAGCTAACAAAGATATTATTCTAGCAACGGAGGGGTGGGGGGAGCGGGGAGTGGGGCAGAGAAATGGCACGGGCTTGGAGGAGAAGCAAATTGAGCCTGGCCTCTGCAGATGGCCTCAGGTGTCGCAGGCTGCTGCTCAGAGACCCTTTCTCTTAGCAGCTCACTGTGTGGAAATCAGCACCCCGGGGAGGGGGCCGTAACAGGGAAAAGGCAGAGGGTTCCTGGAGAAAAGTGGAGCTGGCCTGGCAGGCTTACGGCTTCCTGAAGAAAGGTGGAGAAGCCTTTTCTCTGCCTCCGCAGCTTACCTTCTACTCTCACTCAGAGCACGGGCAGCAGCTCTTCCTTCTCACCGAGGCCGGGTGATGGGGTGGCTCCCACTGCTCAGAGCTGAAACTGCCCACCTCCACGTGGCTCTGGAAATTAAACAGGTGTCAGGCATGTCTGTCATCAGGTGAGAGAAATTCCATCATCTAGGCCCCAAACAGCTCACCCAATAAAGGCCCTTAGGTCTCCTAGCAACATGCTGTGTTTGGATTTTCCACCTACTTTTGCAAGGTGGAATTTAATTAAAAATATATATATATGAGTAAAACATATATATATATATATATATATGAGTAAAACCTAAAGAGCTGGAACCCAGAGGTTTAGCTGACACTAATCCCTCTAACTCCCCCACTTTATGAGGAAACCTGGCCCAAGACTGATGGTGATTTATTCTTTACTTCCTGGTAGAATTAGAATCAAATGGAATGCTTTAATATTTTTATGTCTCTCACAAAAAAGTAATAAATCTAAGAAGGCTGCATGCTGTTATGCTCAGGCTTAATATAATCACCCCACAGAAGATACTGCTGGTTGTTCCCCAGCATCCATTCTCCTTGCCAAGAAATGATTAGCAATGAGCTCAGGTGAAAATATTCCTATCCTCAGAGTCTTGTATATATGGGAGCAGCCACGCTACCCAGTACCCGCTAATGATCTATAAACCAAGTTTATGGGATGGGGTTTTTGATGAAAATACTCAGATGATATGGGAATTTCGCACGTTCCTTTTTCTGTCTTCTTGGTGAGAATGAAGGCTGGAGGCAGAGCAGGTACTTTGCAACCATGAGGGTGAAGCCCTCACGCTAAGATTGGTGGAACAAGCAGCTATAAGGGGTATGGGTCCTTGGTGACTGCCTTGAACATCCCTTGACTGCCCCCCCTCAAAACTTTTTCTCAGCTGAGCAAAATAAAACCCATTTGGCTAAGACTGTCTTCGAATTTGTCCTAAAGGCAGCCAAATGTGATTCTAACTAAAACCCTTTCAAAACACAAACTCCATTCACACCATCACTTTAGGCTAAGGAATGTTCCTGTCCAATTGGTAGACAGAACAAAAATCTCTCTTCTCTTTTTATAACATTAGGAATTTGAGGGGAGTGGGAAAATACAAAGTGAGTAATTCTGGTCTTGCTGAATCAGACTCTCCATCTCAGCCCTTGGCTCCCTGAACCTCTCAGCAGCATGGCGGGGACAACTGGCTTCCTCCTCCTCCCTGGACTTTCCTCCTTCCTTACTTCTGTGACACCACTTCACTATACTTTCCCTCATCTTGTCGACCCACTTTCTGGCCTTTCATGGGTCCCTCTGCTTCTCCCTGCCCATTAAATGCAAATGTCCCCCAGGTTTCCCTTCTCTTAGCATTTTACACTC